GCTTCATAAGTTGAAGTAAAATAAGTTTCCAAACAAACCGCGAATAGTGTCTTGCTTATCCCTTTCGAATCTTTCCGCTATCTGTGCACTTGTGAGCGTGAGCGGTCGAGCACGTGTGGGTGCACTGGATGCGGCCATAGCCTGAGCAAGTGTAGTGCGTTTTACAGGAGCAGCTGAGGTAGTGGTAGGAGTTTTTGTCTAAAAAGGACATCCTGAGCAAATTATGGAAAATCCAGCAAGGAGAGTAAAAAAATCTTACGGGTAAAGCGACTGGTGCAGCTGGTGTTTCCTTTTCTGTGTTATTTACATGTGCGGTCGACTTAGTCAGACTAGAAGTTGAAGTGCTGGGCTTGACTGCACCATTTACCACGGGCTTCTGTTCGCTATGAGGTTTAGGAGGTATAGCTGTTTTCATGCTGCAACCCAATATTTTTTGGAAAACCCAAAAAAGTCGGAGGTTTAAAAAACAGTAAACCTGAGATCATGCCATTTTACGAAATCTTCGTATGTAATGGTTTCATTGGCAACCTTCCTCAAGATTTCTTGTAATTCACCAACACGTCCTTTGAACGAGGCTAGACCTGCCACATTTGTGATCATCGACTGAGCAGCCTGCAAGATCACACAAGGGATATAGGTAGTATGGGATTTTGAGGAAACACCTCGAAAGAACAAGACAAATACGGATGACAAACCAATTTCTTCTGATTTGTCCAAGTCGAAGCAGCCTTTGTAGGTAATGTTGTTGTCGAGGATGGATTGGAGCTGCTTGAAGCGCTCGTATTTGGAACATGTGGATGTGCCACTGTTGGTGGCTTTGGAAGAACACTGGTGGTTGAAGACGCAGAAGTTGAAGGAGTTTGCACCTATGATTTAGAGGTATACTTTAAAGGGTAAAAGATTACATTCAGATTTTGACTTCTCTCTTAAATTACTACACACCACCCATATCGGTAAGAAAATCTCTGAGCTTTGAGTCCAAAACGAGTACCATCTATATGCGCTGGGATGAAAGTGGGTAGCAATCGAGATGAACGATAGCTTGCGCCAACCGCAAGCTCTGCACAAATTACCCCACCCCTACAT